CCAGGAGGACACTTTGGCCCCAAAGGAGATGAAGGCAGTAGCTACCAGCAGGATGGCAGCTGCCAGGAAGTCTGGATAGTGGGCCAGGAATGGCACCTGCCAGGCACCCACATGGGTCTCAGTGAAGTTCTTGATCTTGTGGTTAAAGATGGAGTCCAGATAGCCACTCCAGGCCCTGGCCACTGCAGCCCCCCCAATCATGTACTCCAGCAGCACATTCCAGCCGATAAGGAAAGCCCAGATTTCACCCACGGACACATAGGTGAACATGTAGGCAGAGCCTGTCTTGGGTACACGGGCTCCAAACTCAGCGTAGCAGAGAGCAGCCAGGAGTGAGGCAAAGCCAGCGATGATGAAGGAGACGATGACGGCGGGGCCGGCGATCTCCTTGGCCACGGTGCCTGTGAGGACGTACAGCCCAGAGCCCACCATGCCCCCGATGCCCAGCAGCGTCAAGTCGATGGTGGAAAGGCATCTGTTAAAGGATGTCTCCATCATGTCATCCTCCAGGGTCTTCACCCGGTTGAGCTTCTGGCAGAAGCGGGTCAGGTCGGTGGAGCGGGGCAGCCATCTCGCCATCGTGGAGGCAGCGGGCCCTGCCCTCAGCAGAGTGAGGGGTCCTCAGCAGTGAGATCCTGCCTGGCGACCTGCTAGAGGGGGAGGGAGAGATGAACATTCCCTTGGTAGTGAGGTATCGAGTGCTGGGGACAGGGTGGAAAAGCCACCAGGGCGCATTCCAGGCGTCCCTGGCTCCTCAGCCAGCATAGAGCTCAGCAGAGATGTGTCCTCCTCCAGGCGTGGCACAGGACAGGGACATGTGCCAGTGTGCCAGGTGGCAGGCAAACCACAGCACTCACAGGGCAGCATCTCCCCATTAAAGCCCAAACCAGTTTGCTTTGGCCCTGATGAAGGCTTCCCTGCTGCCTCCTCTGCACCTTATCCAACATCTACTTGAACTTCGCCCTGCTGTGCCAGGACCCCACCACGGGGGCATGCAGCATCTCCCTGCTCCCAGAATCCTGCTGCTTCCCCAGAAGCTGCTGCAGAAGTCCAGAGCAGCTCCCATCGGAGTCTCCAGGGAGACCAAGAACCAGCCAGTGCCAGGGACGAGGCACACTGGCACTGCCATCATGACAGTGGGAGGACACAGCACTAGGGACATTCAGGTGCTGCTTCCCAGCTGCTCCATGTGATTGGTGACTCTGGGGACAGTCTCCCCTCCCAGTTGCCCTCCTTCCTGTGTCAGAAGCCCCACACCTATGTAAAAAAACATGTCCTGCACGGAGGGCTGGTGCAGCCCCACAGCAGAGTCCACATCTCGGAGGCCAAAAGGTCGTGGAAAGCCCACGAGGAGATGGAATGACAGCACCGATGATGGCCCGTGAGGACAACGTGCACAATCCGTGCTGGCTGAGGCTCCCAGCCCTGCACATCCCGGTCCCCGCGATCGGAGGCGTTGGCAGTACCGGGGTCCCCAATCCCAAGGAACGCAACAGGCGCAGCTGGGAGGATGCGGAGCTCGGTGCCCACTAGACACGGAGCATCCACGGAGTTCGGGCGGCCAAGGGTGGGGACCCCCAGACCGAGGAGGGTGTGTAGGGATTCCGGATTAATCCCGGGCGGCGAGAGGCGACAGTTTCGCCCCTGTTCAGCCCCGCCACGATGCCGGCTCCGGGCGGCGCCGAGTCCCGACCCCGATCCCGGCCGCGCTCCCCCAGGACGCTCCGCACAGCGCCGATCCCAGCCCGGCTCCCGGTCCCAGGGGCTGTCGCTCACCTGCGAGGGCGGCGGGGGCCCTGCAGCGGCCCCGGCCTCACCTGCTCCGCGCCGCCGCCGCCGCCGGCTCCGCCTCCCGGGGCTCGGCGGAAGGGCGGCGGCAGGGCGGGCCCGCGGCTCCTCCCGGAGCGGGGAGCGGAGCCTGCGGTACCGGGGCGGCACCTCCAGCCCCTGGAAGGGGCAGACACAGGGGTGTCTCCGCGACCCCAGGGTGGGCACCCCCAGGGAGTCTGGATTTCTGGAGCCGCACAGAAACGGGATGCAGGGTGTTCATGCAGACGTTCCAGAGGCTGCAGCCTGGGCTGCTCCGGAGGCAGACTGGGAGAGCTGAGGGTGTTCAGCCTGGAGAAGGCTCCAGGAAGACGTTAGAGCTCTTTCCCATGCCTAAAGGGGTTCCAAGAGAGCTGGAGAGGGACTTGGGACAAGGACCTGGAGTGACAAGGGGGAATGGCTTCCTAGTGACGAATGGCAGGATTATATGGGTTATTAGGAAGGAATTCTTGGCTATGAGGGTGGGCAGGCCCTGGCACAGGGTGCCCAGGGCAGCTGTGGTTGTCCCTGGATCCCTGGAAGTGCCCAAGGCCCGGCTGGACAGGGCTTGAAGCAACCTGGGATAGTAGAAGGTGTTCCTGCTCATGAGCTTCTAATCCAAGGTCTCTTCTAACCCAAACTACTCTGTGATTCTGTAATGGAGCAGTTATCCCAAATCCCATCCCCTGGATGCAGTTCTGGATGGAGCGAGAGGCTGAGATTCTGCTCCTCTGCCTCTACTCACTCTGCTCTGGAGCAGCTACGTGAAGGGCAGGCACATCCTCTGTGCTCAGGTGTTTGTCATGAAGAAACTGAGGTGTGGAGAAAGCTGTGGGAGGAGGAGCTCCTGAAGAGGCCTCTCCAGCGCACAGTCCTCCTGCCTGGCCAGGAGCACAAATCCTGAGCAAAAGCCTGTGGTGTTTCCCCCTGGCTCTGCAGGGCAGTGAAGGGGAATCACCTCTATCCATCTCTAAGTCAAAAGGTGTTTCTTTTCCAGAAGTGCTTCACCTCCTCCTGAACCTCCATAAACCTTCTGCCTCTGCAGCCCCCTGGGGCAGGAGTTTCCCAGGCAGTCACTCATTCCTCCCAAACCTGCCTGTTACAGGTGCCCTGCAATGCTGCTGCTTTTGTGTTTCTAGAGAGTGAAGTCCCTCTCCATGTCACCCTAACTTTTATCTCCACCCTGCCCCCTCTTGTGCCCTTTGTCAAAGATAGAGGAGTCCAGCTCAGCTGGAAGGTGTTCCAGATCCCTGGTGTCCCCAGGGCCTTTGCAGAGCTTGTGCCATCCCTACTGTGCCTTTGTCAGAGTGAAGGAATTTATTTAGGTGCTTCACAGCAGCAACATGTTTTTAATTTTCTTCTCTGATCCCCTTCTCATGTTTCATCTAGTTTTCTGATGGCTCCCAGGCACTTAAGCTGACATTTTCATGGACCCACCAGTCACCACCCCAAATGTCACCCTCAAGTTGCACCCACAACTCAGAGCCCACAGTGCAACTCTTGAGGGCTCTCACCTGAACACACTCACCTTTATCGCACTGGATTGACCTCCTATGTGGAGGGGACCTTGCTCTTCTCCTCAACAGCCCAAAATATAGGAAAAGGAAGGAATAAACAGGATTTGTCCCTTCCTGCCACCCATTACTCACCTTCCACCAGCTCCTGGGTGAACATGGGGCTGGCCCGGAGCCATAGCTCTTATGTCAGTCACCTTGCACCTGAACAGGGAACTTGATCCTTGGGTTGCATCCCCTCTCCATGTAATTTCTGGCATACATGGAGCTCTGGGCAGGCACCTTTGGTCCAGGTCTATGGATGCCTGAAGCCAAACACATGTTCCTGGAACACCAGTTGAGAGTTTGGGAGCTGCACAGGTCAAAGTGCCAGCCAAAGCTCAACAGAATTTCCAGCCCCCTCGGGTTGCTCTCACCAGGGCTGCCCTGTGTTACTGGCAGCACCACAACTGCAGTGGCTGGGGCACAGCAATGCTGTGGGATGGTGTCCCCCTCTGGTGACACAATGACACTCGCTTGGAAAAATATCAGTATCCTCCATGTTGTACTGTTCAGCTTCAGGGGCTTAGCAAGTGTTCCTCTCCTGAAATCCTGCTGATCTGATCACATCCCAAGGGCTTTGCTCCCTTAGGATAACCTTTCCCACCAGCTACCCATGTGTAACCCCCTGCAGCTCTCCACCCTGACCTTTCTGAAACCCAACCTGAGCACAGGCATGGAAAATTTCAGCTTGGATGCAATCAGCTGCCTGGCAGAGCCATCTGCAAACAGATGGCAGAAGCAGGAAGCCCGAGAGCTACTGTTGCCATGGCAGTGCCAGAACAGCCCCTGGCACCCGCTCTCCCTGTAGACAGCAGCAGCCCTGGGTCCCAGGGGCTCTGCACCCAGGTGGACTCCATCCCTCACCCCACAGGGCAGGAACCTTGATCCCAGCTCCTCCAAGCACACCCTCACTCTGCTGCTGCTCCAGCCATTCCAGAGAGCTTGTGCAGAGGACAGGGAAGCTTCTGGGAGGCAACGTGACACCCCCAGCACCTGGGCATCCTTTCCTGCAACAGAACCCACTGTTCACCCCTGCCTTCCCCAGCCTCACCTCAGGGAGCAATTTCCTTGCCAATTGCTCTGGTCACAAACCTGACCACAGATGCTGACTTCAGCCAGCCTGCACCAGTGGCTACCCTGTGTCTTCCCAGGAGGATGAAGGTGTCTCCAGAGGGGAATGTTGCCCACCTTGCCCCTCACCACTGCTCAGCAGTGTGGCACAGAGCTCCCACCTAAGGGTCCAGGAGCAACACAGTTCCAGGAGGTCTGTGGGGACTTTGCAGTGCTGCAGGTCCCATACCAGCCTGCTTTCCAGATGGGGACTTTCATCCAGGAGGTGAAGACTCCACACAAGCAGTAGGTCTTGTCTCCAGCTCTTGAATCACAGCAGGAGGGAACACCCACACATGATGGAAATGGGAGGGGGCCTCAGCCCTGAATTTCCAAAAACCTCCTTGGTCCTTGTAGCTCTGATCTTGTGTTGGTCTCCTCCAGCACCAGCTTTCCCCACCATAAGGCCACCCACAAGCTCTTCCAACACCCTGAAAGATCTCAGAAACACTCCAGATTCCTCCCCAGCTTCCATCTAATCCACCACAAGCCCCACTCATCAACTGAGGACAGGACAAACACAACCACTGGCATTCAGAAAGCTGCAGCCCCAAAAGGAAAGTGTTTTATTTTTCTTAATTTGGAAACTGGTTTAAAAGAAGAAAGCAAAAGCTCTGCTTTCTGAGTCAATGGGAACACTGCAAACACCAGTCCAGTAACTCTGGGCTGAGGCCTGAAATCCTCCTTTAATACAGATGATGCTGGCCAGTATACAGATAAATGAATACAGATAATGCTGGTACCAGCCTGGAGGAGACTCTGGGAAGGGTCTGCCTGTCTAAGAGGTTGTTCCTGCCTTAACAACACACAGAAGCATCCTTGGAATTGTTCCCCCCTCCCCAGTTATATAATCTAAACACAGGGCCAGCCTCACACAGCGGGGCTCTGTGTGCTCAGTGCTCAGCCCAGCCTTGGCTCAGTGATGGCCTCAGCATCACTGAGGTCACTCCTGGCAGGTGACCATGCTCCATCTTCTCCCAGCTGAGCCAGATGCAGCTGACACTGCTCTGAGGACCTGAGAGCCATCCCCAGGCTCCAAACCATCCCCTGTGCTGGGCTCTGCCTACCCCAGCTCTAATCTAAGTGTCTCAGCAATTTCTTCTACTCCTGTAGCCTCTTCCTGACACAAAACAAAGAAAATGCATGGACAGTCTGTTTAGAGGGAAGTCAGAGGAAAAACTCTGGGAGGTGAACAGTAGATTTGCTCTTTCAGGAAAAAGTCTTCTCAGCCTCAGCTTCCTTCTGCTGCAGCTTCCGAATCAGCTCCAGCAAATTCATCTGTAGAGTCAGCTCCTGCAAAGGGAGAAAAATGTTTGTGCAAAGAGATGATTCCACTCCCTGCTGCAGGAAGCAGGAAGGACTGGCCTGTACCACCTCCCCAAGAGCTTCTTGTTCTTAGGGAATTACAAAAAAAATCAACCAGGCAGCTAAAAACCAAATGCTTCATCTTGTTCAGGTGTTTCTCTAAAACATGGAGCAGTGACATCTTACCAGACCTGCTGCAAACTGTGGCTGTCTTAAGAATCCCAGCACTTGAGGTTTCCTTAAGGATCTTTCTTCTTGACCATGATAAATGTGCTAGGGCTATGAGGGCTGGCAGGCTGAGGAGGGCCAGCAGCCCCAGTAAAGGTTCTCCAGGCCCCTCCCCACACGCTGTTGGGAGTTGTAGTATTTCCAAATTCCTGACCCCTTCCCAGCATAGAAGGGCAGGAAGAGGAGGGATCACTTTGGGAACCCTCTGAGTGGGATCCAAGGCAGGCACAACACATGGCTGTGCTGGTGCATCTAATTCCCTGCAAGCATTTCATTCCCTGTTTCTGGAAAACTCCCTTTTCCAGGACCACAATCTATTGGAGACATCAACATCAGCTCACAGTTCCTTTGCCACCTGCTTGTTCTTTAATTACATCTAGCTCAGAGACAACATGGTGGAGCCAATAATTTGTGAGTGTAGGTCTGTGACTCAGCCCCGCAGACACGGAGCTATGGAAATAAAAACCTATTTTTGTAAGAATATATCCCCTGCACAAGGAAGCATTTCATACAGACTGGGGGGGAAACACATCAGCTGATGGGAACCGTGTGAACAGATTCCAGCAGGGATTTCTTGGTGGCACTCACAGGCACAAGCCAAGATCCGGGTTGGTCTTGGCATCTATCCCAAAGGTGAACATACACAAACACAGCAAAGAGGAACCCTAATGAGGCTTATTGCTTATAAAAACAACATGAAGGGCAGGGCAGGAGGGAGAGAACAGGCTCTCTGCATTATACAACCAGGGAATAGCAACACTGAAAAAAGGACAGGCTTGTTCAAGGCTCCACAACCGGGAATCATGCGGGTGGGTGTTAGAAAATGCCTGTTTGGCTTCATTTAAGCAGTCTTTTCTCAGCAGTAGGTTTTTATCAAAGTGACATTTAATCAGCTGAAAAAACAGAGTTAAGAACAGCCTGTCTCTGTGTTCCCTGCAAACTTGTATGGCTTTACAACAAGACTTGGGAATTTTGAGGTTTTTTGTTCCTGTGGTGGCAGGAACAAAGGACATAAAGGAATAAATAAATAAGGATAATGTGCACAAACCCAGGTGACTCCTCAGATAATGTGAGAGCAAATGCCCTGGGGAAACTGGGAACAATTCTTTATCACAGCCTGAGATCATCAGCTCCAGCAAGTCACATGCAAGAATGAACAAGGTGCCTAATAAACAGTCTTGAAGTCAGTTTTCATAGCTAAGCTGAATATAAATGCAGTAAATGAATTCTTTTAGTGCTTTTCAGACCCATTTGAGATTCACAGGACTGCAGGCTGTTGGCACAGTGTTTTGGTCCCCCACAATGGAAAAAAGTACTGCGGGAAGTTGGGAATGCTGCCAAAGGGTACCTGGGTTTCTGCTCTTTAGTTATGAACTGAGTACAAGCTCTGTCCAGCACACACCACCCACCAGTAGGGAGGCAAAGGACAGAGTGTTCTGTCTGACACACCCATCCCCAATTTATCTACAGCGAGATTTTTTAAAAAAAATTAAAGATACCAACCCAAGAGCACTGTTAAACAATCATGGAATGGTTGAGGTTGGAAGGGATTTTTAAAGGTCATCCCTTTCCACCCCCTACCATGGGCAGGCACACCTTCCACTATCCCAGGCTGCTCCAAGCCCCATCCAGCCTGGCTTTGAACACTTCCAGGGATCCAGGGGCAGCCACAGCTGCTCTGGGTAACCTGTGCCTTACCAGCCTTCCAAAAAAAAAATTTCTCCTTAATATCCCACCTAAGCCCGCCCTCTGGTTGTGGGAAGCCATTCCCCCTTGTCCTGTCCCTCCAAGCTCTGGTCAGAACAGCTCCCCTGCCGTGCTCAAACACCGACCTGGGGGTTGGTGGTGATGTAGAAGCCAGACACCCCGGCCTTCTCCAGGGTGCTCTGCTGGTCGATTACTTTTTGGTCCAATTCCAAGACTATCTTCTCATCCATCATTCGCTGCTCCTCTCGGATCTGTTGCTCCATAGCCTGAAAAACGTTAAAAGTCAATGGGAAAGTGGAATACCTGCGTTCCTCCCATCTCTTTCTCATCTCTAAAATTTTCACTTGGAACTCAAAGAGCAACCAGGCCCTGAATCTCTCCTGATGAGTCCAAGGACAGCAATGGAAAACCAGCAGAGCCCCAGGTCTTAACACCTCCACCTGCAAAGCTGCCACTCTAGAAAATGCAAGGAAGTCATGGGAACAGCCGGCTCTCTGAGTGTTTGGAGGCCAGGAAAGACCATGAGGAAAGACCACAGTATCTGAATCACTTTCTCTGATGAGTCACCACCTGAGCTATGGCTGAGCTCAGCCCAAGAACTATGTGCCCCTCTCAGGTAGGCTGAAGGAATCCTTGGAGAAATAACCTAGGCCACTGAAGCTTATCAAGATGGCTCCCTGGACACTAATATGGTACTGGGGCTGTGAACCCCATACAGATCCTATTTATTTCTGGAAGGATCTGAATGCTGGGCTCTATTTTTGACAGACTGAAAACATTATGAAAGAAGAACTTTGCCAGAATAGCTCCAACCAGGAGGACATGGCCACTCCTGTCTCACCAACATCTGCCCAAGCTCCAGCAGTGTCATTCTGTGATGCCTCCAGAGAAGAATGGAGCCCAGCAAACAAAGGCATGCTGGAAATCAGGAGTGGAAGCAGCGAGCAGCACTGCAGGGGACAAGCAGAGAACAGATCAAGTGAAGAGTCCCATGTGTGCAGAGGTGATACAACCTCACCAGGCTGCACTGAACAGCAGACTTCCTTTGCAAGCCACAGGGAACACCAGGAATCATCAAACCCCGTCAAAGAACAATGACAGGCTCATTTTTGTAGGCTGGGCAGCAGAGTGAAGGCGCAGATTCTGCTGCTCTGCTCAGGTGAGACCGCACCTACAGAGCTGCCTCCAGCTCTGGGGGCCTAGCACAGCAAGGACACGGAGCTGCTAAAGCAAGTCCAGAGGAAGGCAAGGAGATGCTCCAAGGGCTGAAGACTTTGTGGGACCTTGAGCCCCTTCCAGTGCCTAAAGGTGCTCCAAGAGAGATGGAGAGGGACTTGGGGCAAGGGGTGGAGAGACACAACAAGGGGGAATGGCTTCATATGGAGAGGGCAGAATTAGACTAGATGTTAAGAGGGAATTCTTCCCTTTGAGGATGGTGACACAATGACAAAAGTTGTTCAGAGAAGCTGTGGCTGCCCCACCCCTGGCAGTGTCCAAAGCCAGGTTGGATGGGGCTTGGAGCAACCTGGGATAGTGCCAGGTGTCCCCACCCATGGCAGGATGTGGGACTGGATGAACTTGAAGGTCCCTCCTAAACCAAACCATTCCATCATTCTGTGCTTCTCCTGCAAGAAGCAGGAAATAAATAAATCATTAGAGAGCATCCAAAGGAAGGCAACAAACATGGTGAAGGGCCTTGAGAGGAAACCATATGAGGAGCAGATGGTCTGTTCAGCTGGAGGAGACTGAGGGAAGACTCACTGAAAATTAAAACTTCCTTGAAAGGCAAAGAAGAGGGGCAGACACTAATCTGTTCTCTGTAGTGATCAGTGACAGGACCTGTGGGAATGACTTGAAGTTGTGTCAGGGAGGGTCAGGCTGGATATCAGGGCAAGGCTCTTCCCCCAGAGGGTGCTGGCACTGCCCAGGCTGCCCAGGGAATGGGCACGGCCCCGAGGCTGCCAGAGCTCCAGGAGCCTTTGGGCAGCACTGCCAGGGATGGACAGGGTGGGGTTGTTGGGGGTCTGGGCAGGGACAGGAGCTGGGCTGGATGATCCTGGTGGGTTTGTTCTGACTCAGCTTACTGCGTGATTCTGTGAAAAGCCGCAAGTTTTCATAATTTCATTCATGCAACGCTGTCCCTTTGTAATAGAGAACTCAGGCATATGTTCAGCTGGAAACATCCATGTGCTAAAACTATTCCTACTGCACAGAAAGGCAGAAGTCACAAACCCCAGTGGCTGGTGGTTAAAATGGCTTTGGAGGGGAGACGAACACCTCCACCCTGGCACAATTCCTGGTGAAAATTCAGAATTTGTGTGACAGAGCTCTTGGCCATGAACAGTGTGGGGAAGGGCTGAGGTGTGTCTGCACCAAGCTGTGACCTAACAAAGAGCAGCTCTCACTCACATGGGGCAGGAGCTACCTGTGGAACATCTCCTGGATGCAGAGCCCACAATTAGCACGTCACAGTGAGAAACCTTCACAGATCCAGAACTTGGATCCCCTAGAAGGTGACTGCACAAAAGCTGCTCCAGAGAAAACATTCAGGGCAGGGTCTCATGGCAATAAATGGGAAGAAACTCAAGACAACTCCAGCTCCAACAGAAGCCAAGGCAGAGTGATGACTGCTCCTTCACCAAAGGATGCTGAGGAACAAACCTAAGCAAGCTCTGTCCTCACACCTTCTTCAGTCCAGGGGTTTAATCCCTTTGTGGGAGACACAACAGATTAAAATGCCTCATTCCCCAGATTTTCCCTTCTCCCACCCACCTCAGTGGGCCATTGCCTCCTTCACTTACTATGCTGGAGAACTGACTTTCTTTGGACTTGAACAAAACACCAAACTTAAGTGCCTCACATTGCTTAGTGTTGGCATCTAATTCTGGGTTAGAGAAAAGTGCCACATCTTGGACAAATCTGAGGCACACAAGTTTTGCTTCAGCCCTGCTGGCCATGGACCCTGCATGATGGGCTAAGCTTTTCTAAATGCCATGGGCTCCACTGAGGAGCCAAACATCTAAAACATACACCTTGTATTACCTGTCCTGTGAAACCAATCCCAAGTTATCCCATGGGAGCTGGGCATGGAAACCTTTAACCACAGAGGGCACCTCCAATTACACACATCAGATACAACAGAGATGATCAATCTGTTCCCAAAATGCTCTACAGCAGAACTGTCGGAGGATAAAGACAGGAAGAAGTGACTCTATTAACACCTGGGAGAGGAAAACAGAAGAAAGGTAGAGGGCAGGTAGGAGGAAGTTGCACAGCATGTAAGACAAGGAGAAGTCTTGGGCAATTCAATGAAATACTGGAAGTGTTGAAAACAGGCAGTGGAGATTCCTGCTGGATGTCTAAGTTACTCAGAGACAGAAGCAACAAGGACAGGTACCAGAGGTCCAGCCTGGCTTTAGTTACCTTGACAGGAAATGAGGAATGTGGAAACACCAGAGAATCCAACAACAGCAAGCACTGACATGGTGCTGCCATGGGCCAAGGCAGGAAACTGTTCTCATTCACCTCATGTGGACCAAAGTAGCTTACCCCCACATTTCAACTCCACTGACTAACATAACCAGCTACTTGCCATTGTCTTACAAAACTGCCTCTATCACCAAGAGGTGACAGAAAAGTCCTCTGGGACCGAATCTTTTTGAAATGCTTTGGGATGCTCTCAGAAACTCTTACTGTAATTATGAAACTGGAAGTGTTTCCTCCTTATCAGTGGTACTCCCATAGGATAGGTACACCTATCCTATACAGGCTTCAGGCCATCAGATAATGATGGATCATTAAAGTGCTGTGGAGAGTATTGCCTTTGGAGCAGGCTCCTGAGCTTCCACAATGCTCAGATCACACCAGGGATGGCAAGAGCCTGCACCCCTACCTTGAGAGGACAAAAGGCAGAGCAAGACGAGCAGGCCTCTAGACTGAGGTGGGGAAACCAGGTCTGTGCTAGTTTCCAGGCCACCCAGGACAGCTGGTGTCTCCTGAGGCTGCAGGATAGGAACAGCCAAACCCTCTGGAGATGCTGCAGAGCTCCTGCAGCAACGGGGCTGTAGGAGTCCTGGGAAGGGACACAGCTCTGCCTTCCTGCCATCCCCACCTCCAGCCCAGCCCCTCTCACCTCCATCTCACGCTGCTGGGCTGCACGGAGCAATGGCAAGTTGTGGGGCCTGCAGCACTGCTGGGCCTCCTTGTGCCGATGGAACAGCTCCTGCTTCAGCCCTGCCAATGGCACGGGGGGCTCAGGAGGGCACACAACTGCCAGGTGCCCCCAGTGCCACCCCTTCCTCCCTCCAGTGCCCTCCCCACAACGTGCAATGTCATTCCCTGTAGCTCCCTTATGCCGTCACAACCCACCCCCAGGGCGCCACAAACCACCCCAAAACCCCCCCAAGCTGTCCCTCTCAGCATCACCTCCAGTGTCCCCATCACAGTCCCCCAGT